AACTGATGCGAGCGGTTGCGCTCCGCCGTCGAGAGGAACAGTCAGCCGCGCGCCAGCGTCCGCAGAGGGTTAGTTCTCTTCGCAGGAGTCGAGAGCCCGGAAGCGCAGAGCTCCGTCTCTTCCCGGAGGAGGAGCGGAAACAAGCGGGCCCGTCTCGTTCGCGGTGTAGCGCTTGCGATACTAGTTGGAGGGAATCCGCGACGGCGACGACGTAGTCATGCGCGTTGGTGGCACCCTGTAGTGAGGCACCCGACGAAGCCCTTCGACGCCCTGAAATCGCTCGCGCCGCTCGATTCGCCGACGTACGCCGTGGCGACGTGGTCGTGGTGCTTCCCGATGAAAGTAGCCCAAGTCCCCCGAGATCGTTCTCGTTCGCGGCGACCAATTTCAGCGCCGACGAGAGAAATCGCGCCGGATCGGACGCGATATCGCGCGGGCCGGAAACTCTTCGCTTTGCGCTCACTTCGGGTGCCACTCGGTGTGCCCCGGTCCCCGGGTGTGAATGAATACGCGGCTTCCGCGGGAGTTGGATATGACGTGTGCGATTAACCACTTGTCGGCGTTTTTATTCCACGCGGGATTATTCCACGCGCCAGCCGCGTTTTCTCTCTTTTCCCCCCTTTTTTCTCTTCGCCTCGAGTTTTCCATCTGACGCGGGAACTTGGCGCCCGATGATTGTAGAGCGTGTCGAGAGAGAGGAAGAGAGAGAGAGAGAGAGAGAGAGAGAGAGAGAGAGAGAGGGAGAAAGAGGGGGGAGGGATGAGACACGACGAGCTGTGCTTAATTAAACGCGTTCGTTTCGGCGGGCTCTTCTCCGTTACCGAACGCGTTACCTCGATTTATCGAATTAGCGCAAATAGCTAATGCCCGGCAGTTGCATTTTCTTTTTGGTGTTTTCGTCTGTAGTTTGATTATCTTCCAGCACGCACTCGTGCCTGAAAATTGTCGCTAGAATTGCTTAATTACTCGCATTAATTAATTACTCGCATCTCGTTGGGCTCCTTTCGAGTCAAGCTGACGATTGCAAGGAGATGCCGCGAACATTGTAGATGCACGCACCTAGCGATTTGTTAACAATTAACAGGCGTGTTAATTAACCAGCGTGTACATTGGTTTCCTTGGTTGTGCGAGTCAGTGTTACGGTGCTTTAATTTAAAACTCTAGACCTCAGAGTCGCAGATCGTTGGTCGGAAAGATATATTTAAGGTAAAGGGAAGGATTTTTCGCGCACACACACACACACACACACACACATACACGTACGCCGTATTATCCGCGTGATTAACCGCTCGAATAATACGAAAGTCCAAAGGATACCTAGAAAACATTTAAACGACGTCCGAAATGTCCGGCATCTTTTAGACGCATTTTAGACATCATTCTGGAGGCTTGCCAGCGTGTTAGCAAGATTCTCAAGCGCTCTTCATTCCGAGCTGAGTCTCGCTAGCTCGAATTTGCAAGTTGCCGCGGAAAGTAAACGCCCGATGATTATAGAGACCGGTAGACGGGATATCGCGAGAGTTATGGACGTGTAACCAGCACATGGTCGTACAAACGTCCCGTGGGAGCTACGAATCCCCGGGACGGAGGAATTTCGCGAAGTGTCGGAGCGGCGAGGCACCGCTTCGAGATCGGCCTTATATAATGCGAGTGATTCGCGACGGCCATCGAACGGCAGAGAGAGAGAGAGAGAGAGAGAGAGAGAGAGAGAGAGAGGGAGAGAGACAGATAAGACACGATACGCTTCGCTGCAAGTTTCGAAGATGCCGCGACAAGCTCGAGTCGTTGAAATCGAACGGTAACCTTGGCTCGCGTGTAAGATTCCTATACGGTACCTTTGAACTTGACGCGAATTTTAAGATCGAGCCGCATTGATCTTGAACGTGCGCGACGATCGAGCGAGGCAGCGACAGTGACCCCGCGGGGAGGAGGGGTTCGGAGCTCGACATTAGCGCCGCAGAAGTGCAGTACGATCGCATTTTCGATAGTGAGAAGCTCACCTTCCGCTCGCGTGTCATATGCGGCGTTATTTATACGATACAGCGTGTCATGAATCGTCGGTCACGCTTCTATTTCAATTTATTTATTCAAATGTTATCGATTGACATGCCGCCTTGATCGCGCGCGCGCGCATCAGACGATGATTTTGCAAACGGCAAATGCGCAAACGCGCAGTCAGATGAACATTTCGCTCGGCCAGACAGTGAAACATTTAAACAATCTGTCTGCCTCTCTCGCTCGTCCGCGGCCAGCTAGATGACGTCGCGGTGGCATGCGTAAGAGATTCGAAATAGATAAAAAAAAAATAGCCGGAATTTATTTTCAGAAATTTCGCGCGTGTTATTCCGATTCCCGGCGATGTCCGCTCGTGCGCGCCTTACTGTTGCGAATCGCGAAGAACATCGAGACGCGTCGAAGGGGAAAGGTTGTTCGGCGAAAAGATTAAGACTCGAAGCCGCGTCTTACCATTCTCCCTTCGTCGTCATCGTCCTCGGTCAACACACGAACAGTCGGCGGCGCGACGTCGCGGTTACGTAAGAACAACACGCCGCGCGGAGCCGCCGCCGCCGCCGCCGCCGCCGCCGCCGCCGCTGGTCCTGCCGGCGCGCGATCTTAAAATACGCGCCAAGGAAATAGCCTAGCAGAAGCCTGAAAATAGCCGAAGCGTCACGCTCCGCTCGGCCAATGGCGTCGCTCCACATGCTCGCTAACCGCGCGACGCGCCACGACGCGTGTCAGCGAGGCGCGTGCGGCCGCCGCGCCGAAGGCGGTAAACGCGCGCCGCTCGCGCCGTGTCAGCCCGCGGACGAGCCGTCCGCGGAGCTCGGCGTCTCTTCTCTTCCCCGATCGACTCCCTCGCGCTCGTAACTGACGATTCATCGTCGATTAATCGTTCTCGCTGCAGCGCGACGTCGAGCGCGTCCCTTTGCGCTGCGCGGCGCCGCAGCCGCGCGTTGCCGACGCGTGCCGGCAGGCGGCGCTGGCGGTCGCGCGATGATTCGCCCGTTTGGCCGTGCCAGTCTCGCGGAAGCGGAGGTCAGGTTAGCATTCGCGTTGGTCACACCGTCGTGGAAAATGACGTGCGTCTCGTGCATCCGCGCCTCGTGATAGCTCACGCGCGACTCGCCATAGTAGCAGCAGCAGCAGCAGCAGCGGTAATACCCGTGTCACGGCTCCTTTGTGCTTTCCGTTCGCTCGCGAAGCCAACGAGACGCGAGTCTCGTGTGTACACTCGCACCGTCGGGACGTGGTTCGCCGTGGAGTTCGTCGCGGGAGAAGCACGCGCGCTGCCACCGTCGCCGACGCCACAGTCGTCGCTGCCACCGCCGCCGCGCGGCTAACCTAAATATTCGGCGGCCGTAACGTAATTCTCTCTCTCTCTCTCTCTCTCTCTCTCTCTCTCTCTCTCTGTCTCTGTCTCTGTCTCCCTCTCCTCCTTCTCTCTATCTTCGTCTCTCTTTCTCTCTCTCTCTCTCTCTCTCTCTCTCTCTGTCTCTCGCTCTTCCCTCGTGTCTCACCACTCTCCCTCCCCTGTCTCTCTTTCTCTCCTCCTGTCCTTTTCCTCCTGTCTGTCGGTCTTTTTCTCTCTCTCTCTCTCTCTCTCTCTCCCCATCGTGTACGCGCTCTCGCTCTCCGGTTGACACGTCGTCATCAACGACAGTGGTAGCCGTCGTTGCGTCAACGCAACGAATTCGCTCTGTGCAGTAAAAACGCGAGGATACTGCAGCGGGCGGCGAGTGTATGTCGCGTGGACACGTCGCGCTGCGAGCAGTGAGTCGAAGTCGCGGTGAAGTGCGTGCCGCGCTCCCTCCGTTGTGCCTGTCCACGTCCTCCTCGCAGTCATCTCCGTCGTCGACTCATCGCGCGAAACTACCGTCGGAGCTCGTAATTCCGCATCGCGACGAAACACCGTGGGACGATCCTCCGCCTCGCGAGAGCACTCTTGGTACGTCAGTACGTGTCTCGGCGTCGTACTGAGATTTATTTTATTTCTCTTTTCACTCTGTCTTCCCTTCACTCTCCCTCCTCTCTCTCTCTCTCTCTCTCTCTCTCTCTCTTTCTCTCGTGCAGCATACGTTTCCGTAGTACGCGGTGCGTGTTAAATTTACGTGGCGAGCTCCCAGCGAGTGGCCCGATAGTGAAGTTTCGCCCTCCTGTTATCCTGTTAAGAACCGTTACATCGGAGAGAGATAGCGCTAAAGCCCGGTTAACTAAACTTCTCTTAGCCGACTATGTCGTTGCTGTGGCAGTGTAATTTAGAAAGGGATAGCTAGGGATTACTAAGGGTTAGCTCTCTATCGCAGGTTTAAAGGTCTCGTGAATTAAAACAAATTAAATATTCATCTCTGTGCGTTTATTATTTCGACCTTGTTGAGTGTCCACATACACGCATATACACGCATATTTGAATTTTTATTTATATATTATTATGGAGGTATTTGTAAAAGTGTAGAATATGTGTAGAATAAAAGTGTAGAATTACTTTTTATTCATGTGTACGTGTATGTGTGTTTCACAATGATCTCACAAAATCAATTATAGAAGAGACCAGAGAGTAGATTATACAAGAGGAATTAATTCATGACAAGTTTTTTCTTTACCAACTTGGTGTTTTGGAGGAAAGTGACGTGTGTGTGTGTGTGTGTGTGTGTGTGTGTGTGTATGCATGTATGTATATATATATATATATGTATATATGTGACAATCTTGCACATATTATTATTATACATAAATTCTGATAGTCTCCAATTTATTTATTTAAATGTATAATTTTGGTACAGTGCTTAGGAATTTTGCAATTTTTCCAACAGGATTGCGCTTGTATCGCAGAATTTTCCTTCAGCAATTTGTAATATATCTCTCCTGTGTATTTAACTTCCTGCCTCATTGAATACAATGACTAATATAAATTCAATGAATTTTCAGAAGCAGTTTGTGTGAATGTACGTATACAACCACTGAGAGGATAACATTGGTGAAGCATCTACGAAGCAGTAACCATGGAGGACGGCCATTGTAAAACCGTGGAAGATGTAGTAAATTATTTCGGCGTCGATTCCGACAAAGGATTGTCTCCCGATCAAGTCAAGAGGAACCAGGAAAAATATGGTCTTAACGGTGAGTAAATTTTCCGTCTGCACCCTGATCTCTCGGGGGTCGGTAACAAATTTGCTCGAGCGTTATCAGACGATCCCAGACACCCGATTAGAGTGAATCCCGACTGGAAAGAACGCGTGTTTGCACTACTCGTGGTGCTCCGACACCTTCTTTCCGTTTTCTTCCACATTCATGAAGAGCCGGACCTTTAGGTGATTACTTCGAAGGAGGTATCGACGTAGAGGAGTCACTTTGTGCCGCAAGTGCGATATTCACGTGTCATTACGCGTGGCACGCGCACTTGAACACAATATCTTGAAAATGTCGCGCGCGCGTGCGTCTACTCACGCTGCTGGAGACGAGGAGCGCGGTAAAAGTGGCTTTATCAGGTTGGTAGCTCGCCGTGTACGCCACGCGTGTTACCCGTCCCCACCAGCGCGCTGCCGAGCAGCTCTACCACCGCCAGTCACTTCCTCATACACGTGTTCGAAGTCGCGGTACTCGCGATGACGACTACGTGTGTTTCGCTCGATTCCGACCGTAGGACTCTATCCTCGACGTTACGTCGTGTATTTGCACATATATAAATACCGTACTGACGCGCGTATACGCACACACGCACGCGCGTGCAAGAAATGTTTGATACGCGCAATCTATGTAGGCAACGGAAATAGCAGCGACGTAAATACTGCAATAATAATCATCAATTTCCCCCCGTCATAACCCCGTCGGGGGTGATTAGGTCGGTTCATGACTGTTCTGTTTCGTGGTCAATTAATCCAGCCGATTTTGGGATGCGGCGCGTGATACCCGTCACTCGTTGTTGTCGGCTTCATGTCTCACTTCGTTTCGAAAAGACTGCCGAGGCTGTTAACCTGTGTAATCGCCTCGTGTGTCGGCCGGCGGGTTACAATAATGTGGTGAAGGGCGTTTAAATCATCGACGTCCCAATTTCCGACGTTGACGAGCCACCTGATCGAGCCGACCTCGCCACGTATATGTGTTTCGGGAAACGCGTTCCGAATCGCGCTGTGACGTCAGCGAGTTAATCACGCCCGAGTTTTAGAATAACAATTCCCCGCGATAACGTCGCAACACGTAATTCCTCGTCGATAATCTCGCCACTCGACACTGATTAACGCGTCAATGAGTCGCGACAAATATATATATTGCGATAACAGCTCTATCCCTTTAATCCTCTGACGTGCGAAACAATTTTCGCCTTATCCGTCGTCTATGGGCGATACAATTTGCCGCGATAATTAGACCTTTACGCCATTCTTTCTCGTTTTCTCTCATTCCGCTGCGCCATAACCTGATGAGCGCATCGCAAAGTTTTCGAGAGAGAGAGAGAGAGAGAGAGAGAGAGGAAGGAAAAAAGAGCCGGTATTTCCACACAATTTAAATGCGCGGGAAGAAAATTGTGCGAATTGTGTAGGTAGGTAGGTAGGTAGGTTACGTCGCGTGACAAAGTGCACCGGGTATCATTTCAGTACGTTTTCCTACTCTTTTTCTTCCTTTCGTCTCTCGGCGAAAAACGTCAGTTATCAAAGAGTGCAACTCGCAAAAATGAAAAGAAGAAATTGTAACAGTTAAATATTGCATATGTCGCGGTATAGTTATATCATTCCGATATAGAGTTTTGTTGTTGTTCAACTTTTCACCTATTCCACTTTTCTTTCTCTCTTTCTCTCGCGTACGTCACGATGCAAATCGCAAGCTGCGACTGCGTCGCACCATCGAATTTCTTTCTCTTTATTTTCGTGCAATAAATCTACATATGATCGCGCGGTTGTCCCGCACTTTTTTTTTCCCCTCCTAATCAAATGCACCGCATGTATGCTCCCCACGGTGGAATGAAATTAAGAAGCCCGCGACGTGGAGTTTTGTTGTTCCGCTAAATATCTACGCGCACCGTTACATCGTGTAACGCGGTAATTTTTATCGGTTTAACGGCTTCGATGTTAATCCTATCCGGTAAACCGCCCGAAAGACAGGGACAGAGAGAAAGAAAGAGAGAGAGAGAGAGAGAGAGAGAGGGAGAGAGAAAAGTGAGAAAGAGAGAGAAGGGAAGGGTGAGGGAGAGAAGTGGAAGAGCACGCACGTGTCTCAGGCGTGTTTATTTTCGCAAAACGCGCCGACAGTTAGCGCCGGTCGAAATACCGGACGTTCTCCCCGGTCTCACCTCGAGTAGCTCCGATAATAAATAATCGCCATGACTTACGTTCAACGTGATACGCTTATCCGCCTCGCGGAGAGTTCCGTTTAAAAAGTGCGAAGTTTCTTTCTCTCTACCTCTTCCTCGTAGGCCGAAGCAGTAAAAATGCAATGGAAGACACAAATACAGCGGGAGAGACGAAGCTAAACTAAAAGTGGGACACATTACCGACGTATTCCTATCTAATTTTTATTCTTTCGTGAGAGAGCCGCCTCGTTCGCTTTATCGAGAGAGAGAGAGAAAGAGAGAGAGAGAGAGAGAGGGGGAGAGAGAGAGAGAGAGAGAGAGAGCGTCGCGTCGCTTTTTTTGTTCTCGCAGGAGAGAAATCGAGAAACAACAAAATGAAATACACCTCTCAGATTTCAATTGTGTTTTTGTTTTTAATTCGATCGTCGGTCGCGATACCTGTCGAATCTGTCATATATTTTAAGAGTGACGTTATCCAGCAAGATCCTTGATCCAATTCGGAGTAATTTAGATTAATCGATAAAACAAAGATATTACGTTTTTAAGATGTTTTATTTCCTGCAGCAAGACGGATCTAGCTTGAAAATAAAGCCCGGCTTGCTTGCCTTTTTCTCTTCTTTTCCGACTGATTTCCCGGAAATAATTTGTAATGACGGGTGAAATACGCGCGCGAATGGTTCCGCTGCCGCAACGCGATAACTGCACTGACCGCACTGGTCGCTTCGTCCATTACCATTCGTCCGTAGTTCTGGGCGTCGCGAAGGTGCATTATCGCGTGCACGTGCGCGCGAATTGCGAACAGCCGAGAATTTCGGGGCGCACGCGTGTGTTCGCGGTAAACATTACGCGGGAGATTACGGCACAGCTACAAAATAGGCGAGTGCGCGGCGAAGTATCGTCTTTCGTTTACGAAAATAAAATACAGCGAGCAACAAGTCCGCCGGCGGGTCGAATCTTATAGTTAGACGTTATCTGGCGTGTTCCGCCGCTATTTTGACGCTCCCCGCCGGAGCGCGTCCGCCGCGGCGCGCTTCCACGATCGTTTTAAATAACACGGGGTGTCCCGACGTCACACAACACTTTCTTTCAGCTCATGAATTCTTCTCGCTTGGATTTTTGTCGGAAGCGCGCTTCGTAAACGATCGTAAATCGTCGACGATTCTCTTCGAGCAAAAGTCGTGTCCACTTGAAATCGAGACGCTGGTTTCGATATTCCTTCCTCTCTCTCTCTTTTCCTCTCTGCCTTCTGAAAGCTTGCAATTTATAAAGTGAAAATTGCCGATGGCTCGATTTCTTTAATGTCGAACATCGCCAAGGCAAGAGAAAAACATACAGAGAAAAATTGTGACAATCCGCTGCTGCGGAGAACGTATTTTCCGAGGCACCCGGTATATGCATTGATCATCGGAGGATAGAGTATAATCATGACGTTTATCTTCGCGTGAGTGCGCGTCCTGCACAGATACTGCTTGATAATCAAACGACGACGGTCATTTTCCGACTTGTTGCCAAGCGTTTTCATACGTAGCGATCGGCGCGATTGATCGATCAAACGGCTTTCGTTATCGAGACGTGTGTATCGACAATAAAATTTCCATCCTCTTTTCCCGTTAGTAAATCGAGCCCTGCCTAATAATAGTGATATTAGTGACAATAAAAATCGCGCTCAGATAACGTTTCTATTAGCCGCCGTATTGCTCAGTTCGGGCAAAAAACGCTGTAAAATTTTACGAGCGTTATCATTTTCTCGCTCCTTTTTACTTCGTCGTTTCGCGCTCGTGTAAAATTTACCGTCTTATTTCGTACATGGTCTTTTACTCACACTCGGAAGCTAACATATTTCCGTCCAAGAGTATCGGGACACTTGTAAATTCCGAGACGAAGCTATAGAAGAATGTTAGAACACATTGAGAATTAGAGGAAAAATCGACGTGGTGAGAACACGAGATACACGTATTGCTAGAATATGAAAATCAAATATTCTTATCGAAAAAAGCGACTAAGCGTTGCTCTTGGTTAATCAAAGTACGGATTACAGAACGATATACAGAATTATATGGTGTGACGCATCTGGCACGCTTGGTGAAAAATTTTAAGTGTATTCAAATTTAAAAATTCACTGAACACACGAAACGTCTTCATGTTCAGTCTAATTAACTCTAGCCAGGTGAGGATCTAGAAAAAACAATAGAATAGTATGCAGCACTTTGAGATCCAAGTCGAGCCGGTAATGTGAACGAGCTGCTGTTGCAAGTTTGATGGATAGCGTAACTCAATTGCACGTGGCTGTGCGTTGCATCTGGCAGGGCTTGCATGCAATCGCCTGATGGACGGCGTTAATTGCGTCAAGGGGAACAAAAAACGTAATCTAATATAGGACAAACTCGACTCGCGCAGCAAAGTAGGCTCCTTTCCTCATTGGGGATTTTGACGTGTCGTTTTTGGTTTTTGCGTCAAATATGGACTTTCGAAAGCTGCGGCTTTTAAACGGGAATGCTCTCTCTATAAAGCGAGTATCTCTCGTAAATCGTTATTACGCGTTGCGTGATAAAAATGGTGTTGATCCTTTAATCGGATAGGAAATACGAAAATATGAACCAATGAATAAAAAGAGCAATGAATTCGAAAGAGCGAATTCAGAGAATGAACGTTTGGCGGGGGAAAATTTGGTAAAGCTCTGCAACATTTCTGCAGAAAAGTTCGAAAAGACTTTGCAAAGAAGACCTCGGATTGTGAAGGTGTGAAATTGCAGATCTATCGATCTCGAAGATACGTTTACATAGACGTCAGGCGAGAAATTCTGCCGACGAGATAGCGCTATCTCTCGTGAAGACTT